GCCGAGCCCAGATAGAGATTATTGATGACTAGTCATAAAAATTATATTTCTTAGATAATGCTTATTTGTTATCTTTATTTAATGAAAGATGATTTGGGTAAAATACTTCTAATTTTTAACAACTTTTGTCTTGGCAGGAAGTGGTCATAGTAAGTGCTACAAGAACACCCATTGGGTCCTTTCTAGGCAGCCTTTCCTCACTGCCAGCCACTAAGCTTGGTTCCATTGCAATACAGCGAGCCATTGAAAAGGCAGGTCAGTATTTGCTTTGCTTTTTGTGTTTAGGGAGTGAAATGAATCAGTGGAACAGACATTCATTTTGCATTTACTATATATATAACATGTAGAAATGACTTAATGCCTATATCTCTGAATTCCCTTTAGAAATATTTGGATTGAGGCTTGGCACCTGTGGCTCAAGCGGCTAAGGCACCAGCCACAGACACCTAAGGTGGTGGGTTCGAATTCTTAGCCTGGGCCCGCCAAACAACAATGATGGCTGCAACCAAAAAATGGCCGGGCATTGTGGTGGGTGCCTATGGTCCCCAGCTACTTGGGAGGTTGAGGCAGGAGACTTGCTTGAGCCCAGGAGTTGGAGGTTGCTGTGAGCTGTGATGCCACGGCACTCTACCCAGGGGTACAGCTTGAGGCTCTGTCAAAAAAAAAAAAAAAAAAAAAAAAAAGAAATTAAAAACATACATTTCCAATGAATGCGTGAAATCAGAACAGTTTATTATGAGTAGTAATAAAAATAGTGAACGTTTTTCCCCTGATTTATAAAAGTGACATACAGGATACTGACTATGGAAAACTTGGAAATAAAAGCATAAAGAAGCAGAAATCACCATAATGCCGTCACTGATAACTATGACATGACATAGAGTGACATGTTTTACATTATAACATTATTAATGTTTATATTACAGGAAATACAACATGTGGAGCGAAGTTATGCATCAAAACCCTCGTTGAATGTAAGTATAAATTTAACTTGTGCTTAAACATTTCAAGAATTTGGCCAGGCATGGTGGCTCACACCTGTAATCCTAGTACTCTGGGAGGCTGAGGCAGGTGGATTGCTTGAGCTCAGGAGTTCGAGACCAGCCTGAGCCACATTGAGACCCTATCTCTACTAAAAATAGAATAACTAGCCGGGCATTGTGATGGGCATCTGTAGGCCAGCTACTTGAGAGGCTGAGACAAGAGGATTGCTCAAGCCCAAGAGTTTGAGGTCGTTGTCAGTTACAACACCATAGCATTCTACCCAGGGCACCCCGACTGAGACTCTGTCTCTAAAAAAAAAAAACCAAACACCCAAAAGAATTCAAAGAATTCAAGGGATATGTCAATATAAGTGCATAGTAAGTTGACCACCCAAGGGACTTACTATAACAAACTGGTCAACGTACTGAGGTGGTCACTATGAGGAACTAGGCTTCCTGTGTGGTGCACGTCCAGTCTAGAACCAGGAAGGCTCTATATCTGTTTTAGGTTTAGTTTGTCTCAGAATTTTCTATTAGGTCTTACAGCACAAAGCATTACCATCAAATGTATTGGTTTTAGAAGGTGTTCAGATAGAGATTATTATTATTATTTTTTTTTTTTTGGAGACAGAGCCTCAAGCTGTCCCCCTGGGTAGAGTGCCATGGCTTCACTGCTCACAGCAACCTCCAACTCCTGGGCTCAAGCGAGTCTCCTGCCTCAGCCTCCCAAGTAGCTGGGACCAC